CTGTGGTCGTGCTCCTGTCGCTGTTTTGTGTTCAAATGAGAAACGTTAGTTCGGCAGGTACTAGGAAGGAATGGAAGGAGTTAGCAGAAATGGTCAAACCCTGCAGAGAAACCTGTTTTCAGATCAGATCAGACACTTCTGCTTTGTATTAAGGAACATATTAGAAGAGATATTCTAACAAGAAAGGCCAAATCTGTCCAACATTGTTGCATGAAGTATGGCAAACCAGAAGCTGGTTGAGCTTCTCTATACCACCGTGGCCAAAGTACCAAAAGTGTCCTGCTGAGAGCAGCTAATCTGGTCAGTGAGTGAGCAAACCACGATGGCCGTCCAGTCATATGTTCACAGGAATCAGCTGGGAAGTGATTTCATTCCCAACTCCCACATCTGACCTATGAGCTAAAAAAAACCCACATCCATGATGTGTGGAGAAAAAAGGACAGAAGAACAGATCAGGCAAGTCTTGTGAAAGGCTACTTAAACATGTGTGGAGATTTTCTAGCGTTTCTGTAATCATTCAATGACTAACTGTGTCAAAACCTGTTTATTGACACTGCTGCTCCTTTGTGTCAAACACCATTGACCAGTCTTTTTATATTGTTATGCGCTGCCATGGAAAACCAGTAGAATGATTGAATAATGCTGTGTGTGTGTGTGTGTGTCACCGTCTGTGTGTGTCCTTCCTTTGTCTTTTTCCTGGAAGTTCCCCGTACCACCCCTCTGAGTCCCATGATGGCACAACAGGAGAAAAGAAAGTCCATTCGGATTCTGACCTGCCACTTTACTGCCATAACACAGAGCTCCTCTCCAGGCTGACAAAACAACACCAGAAAACCTCAGAGTATTTTACACTCGTGTGAGACGGTTTCAGCTTTCAGCCTCTGAACAGGTAGGAGCGACGTGCTAACCCCGACACAGTTAGCTCTGAGCATGACGTATGAGAAAAGAATGAGACATTTAGTCTGCAAAACATGAAAAGTTATTAGAAATGATCATTTACAGAGGCTAAACATTCATGCCCTAAAACAAAAAGTATGTAGATATTAGCATTGTTTGCTAATTGCCTTTTAAAACTAAGGTCCAGTTCACACGGAAGGACTTTTAAATTGTTCGACTATTTTCAAAACATGACGTGACGACGTGGCGATAAAAAATCAAGGCTACACCAGTTTGGTCCTATTACGTGATAAGGAATATATCGTGATATCTTTTCCTGCGATATTACATCAATATTCGAAAGCGGTGTATCGAACTTTTGGAAGAATTTATGCAAACATTTTGTGTATTTTCTTTTCTTTTGGTGCAATTCAAATGCCAACCGCTAGTTGGCAGCAATGTGCAATGGGTTTTGTTTCCTAGCCTGGCCAGCCAGACTCCTCCTCTGTTTAATTCTGCACAGAGAAAGGCTCTGGGAACTCTCCTATTCAAATAACCCCACCCCGTGAGAATTCTAACCGAGCCAATCAGCACTGAGTAGCGTACGTCACACACCACAACCCCGAGTTTGGCGAACATGGCGACTGAAGCGGAGATTGCTGCGGCTCTTTCCTTTGTTCTAAATGACTTGGACACGTCTTTAAAACAACAAGTAGAAGCGCTAAAAGCTTTTCTTCTAAAGAAAGATGTTTGCGCTGTCGCCATATGCTATTTTTGACTACAACTAAAAAACTACAGCATTGCGGACGTCACACACAGCGACGCTCAGTTTCTCATAAACAACAAAGACAGCGGCGGAGTTCACTGCGGCTCTTTCCTCTGTTCTAAATGACTTGAGTGTCTTTAAAACCACAACAAGTAGAAGCGACAAAAGCATTTCTTCTAAAGAAAAAGATGTTTGCGCCGTTGCCAGATGCCATTTTTTCTTACTACAGCTAAAAAACTACAGCGTCGCGCGGTACAGTTGGCATTTCCATCTTGTTTTCTGATTGGTTATTTTTGAGCTGGCTAGTCCCGCCCCTCATGTGCCTCTCTGCCTGTGAGTTACCAGACTCTTTCTCTGTGCAGAATTAAACAGAGGACGAGTCTGGCAGGCCAGGCTATTTGTTTCCACCATTGAAATGTAAATCCCTCTGTTATGGTTCAGATGCTTCGTGGTAAACATGTTAAGTTTCGGTTTGGACTGTTTATTGAATATTCCTACAATACATTCATTCAACAAAAATTGCTAATAATGTCTGACTGAATGTACAGTGGAGCAGTGGTTAGAGCTGTTGCCTTGCAGCAAGAAGGTCCTGGGTTCGCTTCCCGGCCTGGGATCTTTCTGCATGGAGTTGGCATGTTCTCCCTGTGCATGCGTGGGTTCTCTCCGGGTGCTCCGGCTTCCCCCCACAGTCCAAAAACATGACTGTTTGGTTGATTGCTCTGTCTAAATTGTCCTTAGGTGTGTGTGTGTGTGTGTGTGTGTGTGTGTGTGTGTGTGTGTGTGTGTGTGTGTGTGTGTGGTTGTTTGTCCTGTGTGTCTCTGTATTGCCCTGCGATGGACTGGCTCTCTGTCCAGGGTGTACCCCGCCTGATTGCCCGTTGACCGCTGGAGATAGGCACCAGCCCCCCCGCGACCCTACATGGACAAGCGGGTTCAGACAATGGATGGATGGATGAATGTACAGCAAAACATAGTGATATATTGTATTGTGTCCCCTGTATGTGATACGTATCGCATCGCCAGAGTTTCACCAATACACATCCCTATTGGCTACACATCCTAATCAATAGTCAGCACATTGAGCATTACTCTCAGCTACTATCACATCAATGTGGAGCTCAGTTTCTGCAAACTAACTGTTTTAGCCATTTTGGTGCTTGCTGTTGTTGATTAGCTGCCATCTTGAATTGGATGCGGTCCAAAAGGTAATCAGCCATAGATGAACATCCAATGATTACTTTCTGAGTTTGATTCAAATCTGTCCAGTGCTTGATGAGATATTTTAATGACGGTCAAACAGAGTGAAGCCTAAATGTTAATTGCAAAGTTTAGAACAAAGATCTTGTGTAATCAATTTTCCCTCTGAACAGGTGCTGGGGATGAATCTCATACTGAACATTTTAATTTCAGCTATGATATTTGATGAATTTAGAACTTTTTTTATGTTACAGGAGAGTACAACTGAAAAAAAGACATGTAATTTATACATGTCTATTGGACAACCTTTTCGCTGCCCTTTTGTTTGCACACAGGCAAACACATTACTGCGAGTCTTTTTCCAATTAGATGGTTGGTTATAACAAACATGGATAATAATATTAATGGAGATTATTAATGGTGCTGATGTGTGTGGTGGGCAAGAGGCTTAAACGGGAGCAGGAAATCAAAATCTGCTCAAGGGTGCCATAAAGCCTCGGTCCGACTCTGTAGATAAATCATTCTGGCCCCTACTCCACACTGGGAGCGTCAGCGGAGCGGAACAGTTTACTTGTGACTTTCGCTGCGTGCCAGTACATGCTGGGCGAATCTCAGCCGCGGACTGACTTCTCTGCCCTGCTCGTCACTGGACTCACGAGATCACAAAATCCCTCAAGACTTCGAAGGTCATGGTTTGTTTTCGCCATCTGCCATTAAACCAGAAAAATAGGAGAAAACCTTTGATATCTCTGTTTGATGTCATATATAATGTTGCTCCTCTCTACTGTCAGGATTAAAGCCATGAAAAACACGCCGCTGCACCTCTGGAACAATGCTGGGAGTAACTTGTATTGACGTAATCTATATAGTTATGAAGTTGCATCGCTGCAAAAGTCTTATTTTGAAATTTACTGGGGATTTACACTGAAACCGTATGTGATTTCCTGTCTAGTCCTATGTTAACTGTAGAAATTGACGTGTCCCAGAAGCACCTTGCTCCAAAAATAAAACCTGATCCCATACTTAGAGGCGTGGCTTGATGCGGAGTGGTGCAGCACGGCACAGTGCCGCTCCTGGGACTCTCCTGAAAATGTCTGCATTGTGGATGGTTTGATTCACCCCCATAGACTATAATGGATTCTATTTGAAGCTGTGACATTACGCTGCCGTTCCACAACGCTGATGCTTCCAGTGTGAACTAGGAGTTAGTGATGAACCCAAATACAAAGCACTGACCAGCACATAGATAAAGTTCTTTGCATTTTCTAAGTGACCCCCCCCCCCCCCCCCCCAAAAAAAAAAAAAAACACAGGTGGCACAATCAGAAAAAGAAGGAAGGGGACAGCTGGGCAAGGACAGGCTGAACTGGACAGGAAGACTGAGCTAGCAAGCTGAAAATCTGTAATGGATATGGTGAAGAGGAGAGAAGACAGCTGCTGCTGCATTGACCACCCATCATTATCGATCCGCGTTTCTTTCTAACTCATTACAGTGAGAACAGAATATGATAACCCTGATAAAGAGACCATCTCTGGACATGATGTTGTGTAATCACTCATAGTCGGTAAATATCCAAATCTAGAAAACGACCAGTGTAACATCTTTTAAGTGCAGTTTGGTTATAATTGTATCTGTAGTGCAAAGAGGCTAACATGCAAGCGCTTCATTTGAGGTTCCCGGGTGGTATATGAAGCAACATGGACTCTGCTGCAAATTTCTGACCCCTTGACCTCCCATCTCCTCCCCCCTCCCCGTGTCACTCACACAAAATGCCATCCATCTCCAGGCTTAATCCCTAACTAGACTATTCAAAGGGGCCAAGACCCCTATCTCCATAAATCTATGTGGATCGGGGTGTGTGTGTGTGTGTGTGTGTGTGTGTGGGGGGGGGGGGGGGGGGGGGGGGGGGGGGGATTACCACAGCAAGTCACTCTAAAGTTAGGGACACTTCAAAGTTGTTCAGCACCAAGTCAGCCCATTGATCCATGACTCCCAAAAAGACAAAGGAGAGGGGAAAAATAAGCTAAATAAAAAATGGAAGGGCGAGATGGGGAGGATAAACAAGAGCGGTAGGAGGAGTGGGGACATCTGACTCAGCAAATATTGAAGGTCATCGTCATCAGAGAAGGGTTTTGTCTGCAAAGGGTATTTGTTTCTTTACCTCAGTGTGTCGTCCAGCGTTCTCCTCCTGGAGGTAAGGGGGAGACGGCGCAATGGCCGAGCGTTATCATCCCAGGACTTCACTTCTCTCCCAAGCCTCGTCCCAAACACTGTGGATAAAACACAAAGTGTTACCATGCATGCACTAATCCAAAGCTTAAAGCCTCATTATACAAAAAGTGGAAATAGACTAAAAATCAGCATTCATAAATGTTGTTAAGGAAGTTTTGGTCATTATTATGTCTAATTGGTCTAACGATGTTTGGGGATTCAACCAACTGAGGAGATTCAGGTCATGAGTCTAGAAGTTTAGAAGCTGTAGTATTTGGGAACCACTGATCCTAGCCTTAAGTCGAGTAAAATCAGATATTTTAAAATGTTTTTATCTTCTTGTTTTACCGTTTCTCTGCTTCTTCCTGACTATCTCTTCTTTCCGTTGGCCAGTGAGGTAATCACTCAGCTTGTTACTGTCTGATAAGTGATACCATATTGATTTTGGCTCTTGTGTTGCTGTTGTAGGGGTCATTCTGGCCACATCATCTAACTGGCCCGGCTGAGCTTGAGAGCTCTTATAGAAACCATGAACAGATGCTGACCGGGGTCATTGTTTCCCAGCTATTGCTACAGACAGTATGGATATAGATGTTACTTTGGCAGTATTAACACTGCCCGGCCAAAAAACAGTCGCCACCAAAAAAAAAAAAAAGGTAACACACACGAATATTTCGTTGGGTCGTCTTAAGCTTTGATTACGACACTCATTCGCTCTCGATAAGCTTCTGCAATGTTACAAGATTTATTTCGATCCAGTGTTACATTAATGTTTCATCAAGATCTTGCATTGATGCTGGTAAGTCTGACTGCTGCACAAAACATTCTCCAGCACATTCCAAATATTCTCAATGGGTTTAAGGTCTGGGCTCCGGGTGAAAATGACGTCTCATGCTCCCTGAATCACTCTTTCACTATTTAAGCCCGATGAATCCTGGCATTGTGATCTTGGAATATGCCCGTGCCATCAGGGAACATGGAATAACCGGGTCATTCCGTACACGCAGGTAGTCAGCTGACCTCATTCTTGGAGCACATCCTGTTGCTGAACCTAGACGTGACCAACTGCAGCAACCCCAGATCATAACATGGCCCCCACAGGCTTGTACAGTAGGCACTAGGCATGATGGGTGCATCACTTAATCTGCCTCTTCTTACCCATCACTCTGGAACAGGGTCCATCTGGACAGTTCTTAACCCAGTTTCTGTGCTTGATGCATGCCAATAACTTGACCCTTCTCAAACAAACTAACATCTTAATGTGCCTGATGTGTCTTGGTTGTTAAAGAAATGAGAAGCAACTCATTGCACCAGTTGGAGTTAAATAACTTGTTGCCAGCTGCCTAAATTATCCAAGAGGAGGCTCGTACCTATTTGCTTAGTAAAATCCAGGTGGTGACTGTTTTATTGGACAGGTAGTGTATAATGTAAGCAGCAGCTGGGACACAGCTCTATTATGATAAAGGGAAGGTCATTCCAAAAGCACTTAGGGGTCACGGTACTGGTAAAAATGAGTGACACACCAGATTCAACAAAAGGATAAATATGAAGACCAAATGCTGTCCTAAAGTTAGGACACCCAAGCTGCACGTTGAAAGCCAACATATGGAAGTTAAGACACATGTATCCACATTTAGAGTATTTCCACACGAGAATCAGATCTGACCCAAGACATGCCTTTTAATATTCATAAAACCCTCTCTTAAGCCATTAAAACACGACCTGATACGCTGTAATGATTTCCACGCTTAGTGCTCATAAATACAAAGTCAAACATCAGTTCACACACACACACACACACACACACACACACACACACACACACACACACACACACACACACACACACACACACACACACACACACACACACACACACACACACACACATTCATTCATCATCTAATCAGAAGATGGGATCTCACTCTGAATGATGGACTGATGTAAACCTATGGAAGCAGATTAGATGGAGATTATAATCCATCATATCACTGGTAGACTGCATCGCAATGCCAGCATATGTCCTCACCACAGGGTCGCCGTTTGATGTCACTGCAATGGAACGGTGTTTCAGAGCTGCCACTCCCACAAGGGGCTGTGGTGGTAACTTTGATTAAGGAAGTCATTAGGACTGTGCCGCTTTTCTGCCTGTATGGGCTCACTTTGTTAATCAGACAGATTCTTATTCACTGGGCGGCTGGACTGTGCTTCATCTGGGAGAGATACAGCACCAATGAGGGAGGAACTGTGAAGGGTCGAGCAGAGCGAGGAGGCCGCCGGTACGCAGGAGGCGTGGCTAAATCTGGGCAAAGGAGACTTGTCAATGAAAAAGGAGACAAGTTTTCAAAAAAGACACAAAACACACATTATGCAGATATGCAGGTGTTTGGGGAAAAATATTTGCAAAGATAATATTTTGTATCAAATATTATGAAGAAATAGAAAAATTACAAAATACATTAAACTGCATGAAACTATGAAAATATTTGGATACTGATTTGGAAAAACTGTTTTAATGTTAGACTAAATAAAGTTAACAACTTGGTGAACTTATCAAATAATAATAATAATAATAATAACAATATAATAATAATAATAATAATAATAATAATAATAATAATAATTACAACAATAATAAAAATAATGAGTGAGTTGAAACTTTCCCAAAAATGTTTCTGGAAATAACAAAAGAATAACCCTTGTATTTATCTTTTTTATTTTTTTATTTGTTTTGTTTTTGTTTTTTTTCTCTTTTCTCTCTCTTCTGTTTGATAAGTTAAAGTTAAAAAAGATTGGGAAAGAAATGTCTGAGAAAATATGTCATTTAAGTTGTATACAATGCAATGTATGTAAGTTTATATGTGTTCTTGATAAATAAACAAACAAAAAAAAGAATAATCCTTATAAATGAACTGGGTGGTTGCAAGTTACTCGCTCTTTTTTAAAAAGATTTTCTCAAGTTATTTCTCTATAAAACCACAGGCATAAGTAGAAAACGACCAGTTGAGCTGATTAATGCAAAATAAAAATAAAAAGTATCTTTTTTTTTATTTCTCTACAAGGTCTTAGTCTGACAGTGATATTGCACAAAATTGATGATGCTTTTTGCAACAGATTTTGAATTTGAGGCATTTTTTAAAAACATTTTAAACAAAAATGTTCAAGTGAAGTTTATTATTTTGTAATTAAGTAAGGAACAAGTTATATATGACTTATATATAAGTGTTTTGAGGACTGAATGTTGAAACCTGTGTATTAAATTAAGTAAATAAAATAAATAAAAGCTCCATCAGTCCATCTTTTAGTTCTTTTTAAAACACAGAAAGGTTTTATTTACCTGCAACGTTTCGTTTGCGGCTGACACTCGTCACCAACGAAACATTGCAGGTAAATAAAACCGTTCTGGGTTTTAAAAAGAACTAAAAGATGGAATTAGAATTTCAAAACAGCAAGAACACACCAAAAAAAGCTCCATCACTTCTTGCTTTTCTAAATATGTTTCTTAGAAAGCTTTAAAAGTAAAATTCTAAAATCACTGTTGTGTGTGTGTGTGTGTGTGTGTGTGTGTGTGTGTGTGTGTGTGTGTGTGTGTAATGTCAGAATATTGTTTAATTACAGCTTATTTTAATCTAATTTTTCAAATAAATTTGGTCATTTGTGGTTAAATAATGCTGTATGTTTTTGCTAAATTAGTAAGTAAGTAAGTAAGTAAAGTGTATTTATAGAGCGCCTTTCACAGATATGAATCACAAAGCGCTGTACAACATGATAAAGATCAGGGCAAATACCTCTAACCAATAAAAACATCCAAAAAACAATAGCAGTGATAAAGTAGAAAATAAAATCATGAGTATAAACAAAGTGAAGGTGTGAACCCAAACAAAGCCATCTTTTTGAAACATTTAAGGAGGGAACGCCTGGATGAAAAGGTGAGTTTTTAGATGATTTTTAAAGACCTCTACAGTGATAGAGAGACGGAGATTTGAAGGTAGACTGTTCCAAAGTCTGGGGGCAATGGTCTGAAAGGCCCTGTCCCCTTTGGTTTTCAGTCTGGTTCGAGGAACAGCCAGGAGGTTTTCACATGTGGATCTAAGGTTCCGAGAGGTGGTGTGTGGGGATAAAAGCTCAGATAGGTAGCTTGGAGCCTGGTTGTTAAGAGCTCTATAGGTCAGGACTAAAACTTTAAACTGTATTCTAAATTCTACCGGGAGCCAGTGGAGGGACTGTAAAACTGGAGTGATGTGAGCTCGTCTGCTGGATTTGGTTAGGATTATTATTATTAAATTATGTGAAATTGTAAGTGTGTGGTGAGCATCTTTATGAAATGAAACCTCCAGAGTTGTTTTTATTTTTCACGAATACGCCGCTGCACATTTGTGATGTTTACCTGGCTGTAGATAATCTCCATCCTTGCCACAGAAACCACCGTCTCTAATCCTTTCACCAAATGCATTTCTTTTTTAACTCAAACATAAATACACAACTAGGACTGAATACATAATCAGAGCTGAAAAACGTAAATAAAACACTGAAATTATATTAAATGCTTTGCATCATTTTCTCTACATTATTCTGAACTCAGGGCTTAAGATTTTTGAGGAATTTATCAACAAATGAAAAGATTTTGCTAACTTAAACAATCTAAAACCACATTTACAACATAACAAAAGATGCTCTCTAGGAATACTGCAGTTTTTGTGTCATTTCTTTCCCTGGTATTAACAGAACCTTCGCATTAGGTCTGTGCCTAAATTGTCAGCTGCCGCTGTCATTCTTGCCAAAAAAAGCAAAAAGCTGCTTTGTTGCCTTAATGCGTCCTGTGTGATACTTGGCCCACTTTCCTGCCTGCCTTCATTGTGCAAGAACACATACATAAAACATAATTTGCTGCATTAATTTCTGACTTTTATTCAGCAGGGATTTGGCAGCAGACAACATCAGAGCCATGAGAATCAGAGCAGGAGAGTGACAAAATGCAGCTCCTGCTCTGATTTCTGGAGTGAGGAAGCAGAACAGAGAAAGATTTGGCCGCGTTACAGAGAACAGCATTTAATCACTG